TGGAACCATTGAGTAACTCGAAGTCTCAGTAATTTAAGTCACTGGTCCCTGCCAGTAAGGCTAAGGCTTGCTTGTCTAAAGCAGCCTTTAACATGAATCTATGCAAAAACGTTGAAAGTTGGTTCAGTAAATACAATGTCTGCATTCTGCCTGGTTAATGAGATTCACTTGGAAAAATCTTGTGGACAAATTTTTATCAATTTTCATATTCCGGTTACATGTGTCAACCTGTGTTGACAACTATGATTATCCATAAACTTACATCTCTGTTTTTATTGGTGGGGGGGGGGGTTCTCACCCTTTACCTGTATCTTCTTATTTTTTCCCTTATTCTTTCCAATCTTGGTTACCTGTTCATGTTTATATCTAAATGTAATGCAAGCATCGTATCGTATGCAAAAAGAAAAAGAAAAAAAAGGTACAAATATTTTCTAATGCAATTTCTTTGCCATCTCTATAAACAATTAAAATATGGTCTGACCTCTTTAATCTGGAACCACTGCAGGAACACCAGATAATAGAAATTACTCCTCAAAATAACCTTATGTAAACCTAGTTTGCCAACTCATTCCACATACCGGGTGTAACAGCAAAATTGCCCAAATCATGTAACAGCATAATATGTTTAATATCCCCCCAAAAAACACAAAATTAAGTTTCTTTTTTCCAGGGTTTCAGATAAGATGTTTAGCTATCTCGACATCATTTGTCGTAAGAATCACTGAAAACCCTTTTGAGTTATTCAGATAGAAAGAGAACAGGTTAAAATCGTTTTGTGTCAGTCTGACTATATCTTCTCAACTGAGCAATGGGCAGAGGAAAAAGATCATTCAGGCCGTCAGTAATGGTACTAAGATTCATACCCTGACTTCTGTCTTAAAATCCATTCAAGAACCATCAAGGGAACAGTAGAAAGGAAAACTGCATCAGGATGTCACAACAGAAATAGGGATCATCATTTCAACTTTGACCTAAAGAGGTCAATTAGAAAAGATCTATTGAACATTTGGCACATGATACAGCTACAACAAACCAAAGAGCAGTGAAAAAAAAAAAAAAATTGAAAATAAAATCATATGTGAAACCTGTGAGGCAACTTGTTACATAAAGTTAGAGTGGGCGAAAATCATCTTGAATAAGTTGGAAAATGATCCTTTAGTATTTATCTGTATATATATATATATATATATATATATGAAGAAATATAGTGTTAAGGTGTGCTGTATTTATGGGATAAAGTGCTCAATATCAGAGATAGAACGTGTGTAAATATAAAAGTGAACATAGAAGTCAACACTTAGAGGCGACAGTCTGTTTCATGCTATATATATTTCCTGAAAATAAATGCATTTTTATATAATTTATCAACTTTATATAAAAAAAATAGATGAGCACTATTTCTCTAATAAGACTTTTGTGTCTGTTTAGATTTTTGTCAAACTTTTAAAGTTTTGAAGTTAAATAAGTTATTTACTGATCTGTCTATATTTCTGAGATGAGATATTGTAACTATTTACATTGTTGGGGTTGTTGTCCTCGTCTTTGTTGTCATATTCACAACGTTTCAGCCATTATATCCTCTGGCCTTCTTCAGGTGAAATACATTGGAACTTCCAACCGACCTCTTTATTTAGTCCATGTGAGTAGATTGTTATACTTCCATGTGTCATGTCTTTTCTGGATGTCTCAGTTTTCAGTTAATTCTCCTTTGTAACTCAACTCTCTAAATTTTTTTTTTTTTTTTTTTTTTTTTTTTGTTCATTTCTGTTGTGGCCAGGTATTGAACTCACAACTTTTTGTTCCCAATGCCCGTTGGTTGAAAAATCAAAAAGTGACTTGACCCAAAGAGTTTTGATCTTAGTACCTGGCGACTATGGAGATGAACCCCAAAAAAGGCCTGAAACATGGAACTAGAACACTCTACCACTGTGGACTAAATAAATGGTTTGATTCAGAATTCCAAGATTCCAACCTTTTGTTTAGTTACTAAAGGATTGATTTGTCCTGTTATTATCATGTACATCTTTTAAATTAATCAATCAACCAATCCTTTCATCCACCGACATTGGTTGCTTGATTTGAAAGTGACTTGATCCAAACAGTTGGGAGTTCAATACCAGATGACAGTAGAGGCGAAAAAAAAGAAAACACAAAAAACTTGGGGAATTAACTAAAACTGAAATATCGAAAGGCATGGCATGTGGAATTAGAACAATCTACCACTGTGGACTTGACTGTAAGGAAAGTATGGCTCATTCAAATGACCGCAAGGAAATGTCACTGTTTCAAATGACCACAAGGAAATTTCTCTGCCCTAAAGTGATCGCAAGGAACGTTTGCTGCTTTCAAATGATCGCAAGGTAAGTTTGCACCCTCAAGTGAATGCAAGGAATGTTTACTACCTTGAAATGACCACAAGGAAATTTCTTCGCTCTAAAGTGATTGCAAGGAAGGTTCACTGCCTTCAAATAACCGCAAGGAAAGTTCACTGCCCTCAAGTGACCACAAGGAAAATTTGCTGCCTTCAATAAAACAAAAAAACTTGAGAAACTCCAGAAAAGACATGGCACATGGAGCTAGAACAAACTACCCCAGTGGACTAAATAAAGGATTCACTTCAAAATTTCAATGTATGTCACCTGAAGAAGGCTGGAGCATACAACGGCTGAAATATCTTGAATATAACAGTATAGATGGGAACAACAGTCCAAACGATGTAAGTAGTTACAATACCTTGTCTGTCTGTGTATTGATCTGAAATGGAAGACAGAGTACATTTCTGTTGTTCTTGAAATTATTCTCTGTATAATGACTGGCAGAAATGAATAATGTCAAAAACATTTGCGATTTTGAGCAAGTTCATCAAACTTTAATTTTCTGTAATTTGATCTCCAATTGACAAGTTCACATTCCATCTGTATGTTACATAGTATTCTCATGAGTTTTTCAAATATTGAAAATATTTTTTAAATGTAAGTATAAAGTTTTTCTCCTCCTTTACTGAGTTCCTCTTTACTCTAATTTCTTTATTTCTTGTTCATTGTTATTTTTTATTATTGTTTTTTTTGTATTGTTTTGAGAAACTGAATCTCTTTTTTAAAAAATTGAAATATTCCCAAAGAAGTAAGCCCAATCCTGTTGCATACAAATATCAACTGTAAACTTGTTATATAGGAATGAAGTGTTGCTGCTGACACTGGAGTTTGAACATGGATTGCTAGAAAGCAAACACAGACGATCCCATTTTGAATAAGTCAATCATGTGGTAGTAAAGGAAATGTATATATGGGAATTAGTGTAGCATCTAATTGATCACCCCTTCTTGTCTATCCTCTATTACAATACGGATCACCCCTTCTAGTCTATTACTATACGGATCACCCCTTCTAGTCTATTACTATACGGATCACCCCTTCTAGTCTATTACTATACGGATCACCCCTTCTAGTCTATTACTATACGGATCACCCCTTCTAGTCTATTACTATACGGATCCGTATTACTATACTTAGATCCATATAGTAATAGAGGATAGACTAGAAGGGGCGATCCGTATAGTCTAACCTCTATTACTATATGAATCACTAATCTCTATACTCTTCATTATACGGATTTCTATTTGGTGGATACTTTTTGAGCGAGTATTATCGAGCAAGTAATATTAGTGTGAGTGATAATCGAAGGTGTCTGACAACAGTAGTATTCAATGGTGTTACTATAGTTGTATCTGCAATTACAAAGTCTCTACTATAACGAGCATTACAAAGTGACAACGTGTATTCATTGACATTACAAAAGTGGTATCGATTGTTTGTTAAACATCACAAAAAAACTGATTGATAAAAATGACTGTAACATAATTAACCACATCTAATTATGCATTGCATCACGTTTTGCATAATTGTCATGGTTTCACCATCTTTATCAGTCATATTTTCCCGGTTCACACTCCTCTTTTTTCTTTTGAACTGGAGTAGTGGTTTATCTCTTGTTTAGGATTGTGTTTCCAGTCCCTTTTAAAGTCTTTTCATTCCCTTTCCCTCCCAGTAGCCTCTTGCATCTCAGTGGCATTATTGCCTTGCTTGGGGGTGAATTGATTAAAAAAATTATTTGTTTTAATTCATGATCCCTCACTATATTCTTTCTGATTTTCAATACATTTTTTATTAATTCATTTCATAGGACAAAGGGTTAATGAGAATGAAAGAAAATTAAAAAAAAAAAATTAGTTAGGAGAAAGGTCAATAAAAGAAGAGAAGTAAGAAGCTAAAAGGGCAAGAAACTGATTGGCAAAATCACTATAATCAACAACACATCTGTCTATATTTCTGTATTGTAACTATTTCCACTATTGTCCTCATTTTGTCATATTCACAATGTTTCTGACATTGTGTGCTCTGGCCTTTCTCAGGTGTTACACATTAGAATTTAAAATCAGACCCTTTATTTAGCTCACAGGAATAGACTGTTCTAGTTCCACATACTAAGCCTTTTCTGGATATCTCTGTTTACAGTTAACTCCCTTTATTAATTCAACGTTTTTTTTTGTTTTTTTTTGCAGTGGGGGGCGGTCATCTCGTCTGTGGCCAGGTATTGAACTCACGACTCTTTGTTCCCAAGGGCACATTGCCCAGTAGATAAAATCATTGGTTGCAATAATTCAAAAGTGACTTGATCCAAAGAGTTGTGGGTTCAATACCTCTACACAACATAGGTAAACAAAAAAAAATGTGAATATGACAATATAGATGAGGACAACAGTCAGAATAATGTAAATAGTGTAAATAACATATTTACATTATAAAATTCTCACCTATGTATGTTGGTCAAAAATGGCAAATTTATGTAATTCTGGGTAACAATTACTGCGGCGTAATGTGCTATATCTGATGTAAAAGTAATTTTGAGCAAATCTTGTGCGATAATCCACACTATTCCTTCCTGTAAATTAAAATCTGTTGTTTATGAACACGTTTTTTTTTTTTTTTTTTCTTCTTCAG